ATAACGTTTGATTCCAAAGTCCATGTTCCACCCTTTTAGGAAGGCTTACTGAACAATTTTTTTTTTAAGAGAGATTTTACTATAGGACACATGTACTTGCCGGACAGAGAAACAGCAAAAAATCAGCCCCCCAGGGGGATGGCCACGCAACAATCCCTTCTCCATTCTCCTCTCAGAATTGTGGGCATGCATGCACACATGCCAGGCACAAGTTTTCAGTCTCTGGGTCCAGGATTCAAACTGCAGTTGAATCACGTGAGAGCTCAGCAACATAACCATTACTCCATCTGCTGGTCTCCCAACATTTCTTAGCAGATGGTACAGGACTGTATTATCGGGAACAAAAATAACTGCTTAAACCAGTGGATAATAAAGATGTGAATTTATTTCTTAGGTTAATAGACGTGATTAAATTCTTTATCCACATAACCCCAAGATTGTCTGACCTTTAATGCTAACAACTAAGCCTCTTTTTTTTTTTTTATTTGAAAAGTTTTTGCTACAGGGTGCGTGCGCTCGCCAGACAGACAGAGTGAGACAGAGAGACAGAAAGCGAGAAATCACCCCCCAGGGGGGATGGCCACGCTGCAATCCCTTCTCCTCCATTCTCCTCTCGGGATCTTGGGCATGCACCCACACACGCCCGGCATGAGTTTTAAGACACCAGGTCCGGGACGCAAACCACAGTCGACTACATGGGAGTCCAGCAACATAGCCATTACGCTAACTGCTGGTCTCAACAACTAAGCCTGTCTTCTAGGTCATTAGTAGCAATAATGGGGGTATGGGGTGGCCATCTTGACTCTTTTATTATTCATTGAAATTGTTCAAAACCCAGACAAGGTGCTATGTATTGATGGCCACTCATAAACATGCCACCGAAATCAAGACCCAAATATGAAAGAGAAAAAAAGTACAAAATCGTCCAAGTAGAGCTTAATTCACAGGCTTTGAATTATTATATTTTTCAAAAGCAAAATTTAAAACATTCCCAACAGCCAAACTTATCAATCCTTTCCTTTGTGATTTTTCTTCCGTTCTTATGGTTATAAAGCCCTTTTCCCATACTTAAATATAAATTTTACTGGGGCCAGCAGGTGGGATGGTGGTTAGGGGGCTGAATTCCTACATGGCTGATTATGGTTCCAGTCCAACACCAGGCAACTTGCTCTCTCACTTACCCATTCTCTTTCTCTCATCAAATTAAAAAAATAATAGTAACAATAACAACAAATGGAAATAATTCTTTAAAATATATATATAAATTTTACTTATATCTTCTTGTAGTTGTTTTATAGTTTCATTTATAAACTTTTTTTCTCTTTAGAAATTATTTTGTGTATGTTATAAAGTTTCTTTGTTTTTTGTTTTTTTTTTTCTTTCCAATCATTACTCCCTTTCCCCAGAACCAATTCTGGAATGATTATTTCATTCCCCCACTAACTTTTGTTTAATACGCTTTTTTTAAAAAAATGATTTATTTAGGGGCCAGCAGATGATGTACTGGTTAAGAGTGATGGATTCTCACAAGGACAACCACAGTTTGAGTCCAGGACCTGGCGGCTTGCTTTCTCACTTTCTCTCTCTCTCTCACTCTGTCCCTTTCTGGTCAAATTTAAAATAAATAAAGTTGGGACCAGCAGTTAGCGTAATGGCTATGTCACTGGACTCCCATGTAGTCGACCACAGTTCGAGTCCCAGATCTGGCGGCTGGAACTCACACCGGGTGTGTGTGTGTACGTGCCCAAGATCCCGAGAGGAGAATAGAGGAGAAGGGATTGTGGCGTGACCATCCCCCCTGGGGGGTGATTTCTCGCTTTCTGTCTCTATGTCTCTCTCTCTGTGTCTGGCCAGCACACGCGCCCTATAGCAAAAAACAAACAAACAAAAAAACAAAAAAAAAAATCCTCTCCTAAAAATAAATAAAGTTAAATAAAATAATTATTTTTAAAAAGTATGTATGCAATTCCATTGTTATTTTTTATTTATTATTTTATTCATTTGTTATTTTATTATTTAAATTTATTTATTCGCTTAAAATTTTATTTTAATTTGACCAGAGAGGAACAGAGAGAAAGAGACAGAGGGAAAACAAGAATATAAGCCACCAGCTCCAGGACTTGAACCACTGTCAGCCATGTGAGAGTTCAGGGCCCTCAACCACCATGTCATCTGCCAGTCCCATTGTTTATTATTATTATTATTATTATTATTATTTTAATTTGACCAGAAAGAGACACAGAGAGAGAAGGAAAAGGAAAGTGAGAAAGCATGCCACCAGGTCCAGGACTCGAAACACAGTAGATAGATCATGTGGGAGTCCAGCACCTTCCCCACCACGCCACCAGCTGGCCCAACTGTTTGTTTTTTAAAGAATCATTTATTTGTAATTATTATTATTTTTAATTTGCTCTAGGACACATGCATTCACCAGGAACAAACAGAAAGAGAGATAGTGTGGAAAAGTGAAAAAGCAAGCTGCCAGGCTCAGCAAACAGTGTCTGGCCATGTGGAAATCCAGCACCTTAACCACCACACCACCTGTTGCACTCCCATTAACTGTTAACGCAGCTTTTATCATATACTAAAATTTTTGGAGAGATTTTTGCTATAGGGCATGTGTACTCCCCAGAAAGACAGAGAGAGAGACAGAGAGACAGAAAACGAGAAATCATCCCCCAGGGGGGATGGCCACACCACAATCCCTTCTCCTCCATTCTCCTCTCAGGATCTTGGGCATGCATGCACATGCACCTGGCATGAGTTTAAGCCACCAGGTCCAGGACTCGAACCACAGTTGACTACATGGGAGTCTAGCGACATAGCCATTACACCAACTGCTGGTCCCCCCCTAAATTCTTACTAGTATAAATTTTATGTGTTGTTTTTTCTGGTTCATCCTACCTTATTGACCTGTCACTTCTTGTGCCAGTAAAAGTACTAAAAGTAAAAACAAATGATTCATGGCCCTCCTACAGTCTCCAGTATTTTTACTATGTCCAAATCTCCCTACACACCACAAGCTGAGTGCTGATGACTCTCTTACTGAATTTAACCCATCCCACTTCCCTCTAACGCTGGCTCACCGGTTATATACATGAAAGGAGCTGGTGATATGGAGAGAGGCCAACTGGAATTGATGTGGATGTTTGTTCAAAGCTGCTTCCCAGCAGAAAGTGTTTCTGGAGAGTTTAAGCCACAGGGCCCAGAACTTGAATTACAGTCAACTACATGGGAGTCCAGTGATGTAACCATCTGCTGGTCCCCCTCATCACCACCACCACCACCACCGAAAGGAATTTTAAGTCTCAAAATTATGGTTTTCCTTTGGCTTGCTTCTCTCGATTTCAACCAGGATTTATTAATGTTTCACTTCATAGCATCTCAATCTTAATAAATGCTCTTTAGAACATTCATCAGTCCCTCACTAGGATCTGTTTCAGTGTTGTATGAAGGCTTTTCTTTCTTTGCACTCTTTTTCAACCTGAGTCAGGTGGTCCCATTGGGTATTCTCTGCATTCTTTCTACATAAAATGAGAACTCTATCAGGTCTTAACTGTATCAGGTCTTAACTTTCCCAGAGATGAGTTTCAAAAGATTGTTCACAATCATGGAATAACTCTTGCCATTTAGGTTCTTTACCAAAAGATCAGATGACCTCTCTGTGAAATCACCTGCAGTCCTCAGTAGGAATTTGATGAACTCCAGTTAACGTCATGTAGATTTCCACAACAGTATCTGACTGATCCCATCCATAATTCCTGATTTTCACTGTATATCCTGTTGTAATGGGAGCAACCACAGCAGCTGGCTTCTCATTGTCAAGAAGTTCTTTTTTTCCCTGTGATTTCTGTTGCATCTTGTTCTTGATTTCTATCTTAAATTTTTTTTCAGCTGTAGGGGCAACACGTACTCTTCCTAGTGACCTTTTCCAGTAACACTTTTACTTCTAGATCTTTCTGTAGCTCCTTTAGAGCCGTGGCTGTGGTCTTGCTGAGCACCGACCGCCCAGCTACAGCCGCGCAGAAGAGGGCACGCTCACAGCCTGGGCACACAGTGGCCCCTTCTGTGCTGATTCAACGTTCCCCACCTTTGCTGGAAAACCTGGCCAAGACAGCCAATAGCTCTGCTTGCAGGTGCATACATAAGGAGGAAGCCAACAGAAACGTGGTCCTTGTCTTCCAGCTCATTTCACAACTCTAATTCCAGAAACCTCCGTTTCAGAGATATTTTTTTGAAAACGCCAGAAAAAAAATTTCCGTGTAAACACCCCAATTCTTAAAGAGCGACTGTGAATTGTTGAATGGTTTGGGGGATGTGAAGAAAATTCCTTAGAGAACGAGACATGGGATCACTTCGGACGCAGTTTTACGGCCAACAGCACGGGATGCTGCCAGGCGGGCGGCTGCCAGCAGCTAACAGCCAGCAGATACCAGTCCTGAGGGGGGGGCT